AAAGTTGTGTCAATTTACAATCCGATGGCATTATATGAGCATGTCAGCTTCCTATAGCCTGACCAACACTAGAATCTGTACATACGTGTGTGTGTGTGTGTATATATATATATGTATATATGTGTGTTTGTAAGGCTGAAGTTTTGGGGTTTTGGCACGTTTTTAATGATGGTCTAGTCTTTTTTCCCCCAGTTATTATTAGTTTTTATTTATGTGTCTGTCGTGAGTAAATGAAGGTGCTCTTCACCCCAAAGTATATACATAATTCACCTTTTCTTTTCCAATTTAGTATTTAGTTTTTGTTTTTAGCTTGAAGGTGAGATCTATTTTTATTTCAAGGAATTAATATGTTATCCCAGAACCACTTATTAAATCCATCCTTTCACCAAGGATTTCAAATACCGTGTATATCATAGTAAATTCTTGGGGCTGGGTGTGGTGACTCACGCCTGTAATCTCAGCACTTTGGGAGGCTGAGGCGAGCAGATCACTTGAGGCCAGGAGTTTGAGACCAGCCTGGCCAACACAGTGAATCCCCGTCTCTACTGAAATAGAAAGAATGAGCTGGCTGTGGTGGCGCATGCCTGTAGTCCCAGCTACTCAAGAAACTGAGGCACAAGAATTGCTTGAACCCAGAGGCGGAGATTGAGTGAGCCAAAATCACGCCACTGCACTCCAGCCTAGGTAACAGAGTGAGACTCCGTGTCAATCAATCAATAAATAAAAATTAATTCTTGGAGGTATATATCTGTTTCTGAGCTTTTAATTTTTTCCCATTTTCTTATCTATAAGGTGCTGGAGAATAAGGACCTCGTCTATTTGGTTCATTGCCACCAGGAAGTGAATCACTACCTGTTAGACAATAGGTTGCTGCATGTGTTTAACAGATCATCTGTTTCTTCCTATGTCATTGCTACATTTTTAAAATACTGTAGCTTTACAATAACTATATCATATATTGTTTTTATTTATTTTATGTGATTTCTAAATTTTCTTTGGCCAATATAACAAAGTCTTCAAGATGAGCATCAGAAACATTTTGTTAAGGCAAAAAACGACCCACTATTAAATGTGTGGCCTATTGGAAAGACTCATTATCTTTGCAGCATTATTTTACTACTCAGAAACATGTTACTGCTCCGTTTTATTCAGTATATTTGTTATTTATTTTAGTTTTACTTTCTTCCCTCAATAGCTGTAATAATATTTCAAGTAATTCTCTTGAGGTTTTTAGGTTTTCAATAACATTGAAATCTGTAAATAATAATCTTGTCTTCTTTCCAGTATTTATTGCATTCACTAGAATTGCCACTATTAAGTAATAGTGAAAAGAATAAATGTGACTTTGATTTTTTTTTTTTTTTAACAGTGGAAAGTAGGCCTTAAAACTGGAAGGCCTAGGAACAGGATTCTCTGCTTAGAGCTAAAATGACAGTGATTCAGGGTAAAAAGAGGAGGAATAAAGGGAGTGGCTTTGAGGATTGTTTAACAGCCTGAATAGCACCTATCTTTATCATCTGAGTGACTTCATTTTAGGTCAGATCTGTACACAGGTTATTATAAGAGTAAATTCAACTCTCGAACCAGGAGTAATGTCATAAATGGTGGGCACTACCTTTCTCAAGCATCAAATCACAAGCAGTTCTCTGTACAATCAAATTGCAGATTAAAGAGTTTAGAATTTTTATTTTTGTGTAGATTTGTGCCTTATAGAATTAGTGCCTTCCTATATACATTATCATTGAATTCAAAGTCTGAGGTATTCCTGTATTTGAGATATTATTGATCCTTTTGGTAAGAGGGAACAGTGGCACCTAGATTGGGAATAAAGACAGAACAAAGAACCACAGAACTGCTTCATGTGCTAAATAATGGCAGGGTTTAGCATTAATGGAATTAGTTTTAATATCTCAGCCTGGTTATAACTCAAGCAGTATACAAAGACCTTGTTATACAACTCAGGAAACTGTGTTTATAATGATACAGAATTTAGAATGGACTAATAGTCACAACTGTATTACCAAAAACTGTATCAGTAAATCTTTGTATCCCTAATTGCTGTGCAGATTCGCCCTATTCTTTATACGTCGTTTTTATACTTAGTGGCTCAGCTCATTTGGTCGATTGAGTTGTGAATAGCTAGTAATTACTTGAGAAAAAAAGAAAACTGCACAGCGCTCTAAATAAAGTGGAAAAGAATATAATAGGCTATTTGGCCTTGCAACTTTATTTTCAGTATGATTGTTCTATCTTACTTGTGTATTCTGTGCAAATTTCATAAAGCAGTTATTTTATACAGGCACATTTTTTTGGTCATTGTATACCATAATTGTGCTGCCACAGTTCATCCCTTTGCCATAGTTGCCATTGCTGTCTTGCCTTCAGTTTATTGGCCTCTTACATGCCCTGTCTGCTGGCTTTGTGTGGTTATTTGCTTATAGATAGATTTGTAAATGTCAAACTGGTAGTTACACCTGTGATTAAGGAGGAACGGTATACTGAGCACGAAATATTGACCAGTGGCGTATGATCTGAATGATATGGAGAGATAGTGTCTTCTAATGAGATAAATTGATACAAATGGTTGGGTTATTTGCTGAATTATCAAATACCTACTATTACCTGACTTTTCTTTTTGGTCATAAATCTTCTGTTTTAAAAAAATGTTTCACAACTCCATTCTTGTAATCAGATCCAGTGTAGAGATGTGAAGAGTTAAAGATCTCAGCATAACGTGAGATCTTCAACACTACCATCAACTAAAGAAAGGGAAAGGGGAAATTAATGTTATTGAGAAAAGACAGAGGAGACACAGAGGTCAGGAAGGATGCCAGAAACCAAGGATGAAGAGGTCAAATAATTAGATTTTAAGATGTGAACTGAATAACAAGAGCTACCTCTTAACCATTTCTACATTGGTGAGTTTGGTAGTAGACACCCAGTACATGCTATTGAGTGAACAGTGGTAACTGTCTACTAGCCACTTGCACTAGCAGACTCCAGTGCCTCCACCTCCCTCACCCCTCTCGTCCTGTAAGTTGCACTTGACTGTACATCTGAACCATGTCATTAGTTTCTCCTCCTTTCCCTTTCCACTGCCACCACTCTGCTTCAAAGATGGTAATGCAAACATGATCACCTTTCCTTCCCAATGGTCTTCTCTCTTCTCATTAAAAGTGTAGACTCCACACAACCATTAGGATTATTGGTCTAAAACACAGAAGTGATAACGCCGCACACCTGTTTAAAAACCTACAAGGGCTTCTCATTATAGTTAGAAGTCCAAACTTTTTAGCATGCCATTCAAAACTTGTTACAATCAGATCTCACCCAACTTTTCTCTAACCTACTATACCGCTGTAGCCTTCCACTTGCCAACCACACTGTATTACTCAGAGTTCCCCAAAACCTGCTGTAGGTTAGAGCTCATGCCTCCATGTTTTTATTTTATTTTATTTTATTATTTTATTTTATTTTATTTTATTGAGGCATGGTCTCACACTTTCACCCAGGCAGTAGTGCAGTGGCACAATCATGGCTCACTGCAGTCTCTAACTTCTGGGCACTAGTGATCCTCCTGCCTCAGCCTCCCAAGTGGCTGGGAGTATAGGCACGTGCCACCATGCCTGGCTGATTTTTTTTTTTTTTTTCCATAGAGACAGGGCCTCTGGAACTCCTGGGCTCAAGCAGTCCTCTCGCTTCAGCCTCCCAAGGTGTTGGGATTTGCAGGCATGAGCCACTGCACCCTGCCCTCCACGTTCTTATTTAAGCTGTTTCTTTCTCCTTCTCCTGGGCTCAAGTACTATAAGGTCCAACCAGAGTATGCCTTCTTTTTTGGGAGTCTTCCTCATTTATTCCCCCAGCAGAATGGACCCTCTGCTTCCGTTATGCCTTCTGCATATCTCCTGTTAAACTCCGTTTCACCTTGTATTGTAGATTCAACAGTACATTGATTCCTTGTGGATGCTAGTTTGTCCTAATCTCCATCATTTATTTAGCAGAATGCCTGGCACATAAAAGTACTATACACATTCTCTCATTTAATCTTCACAGCCACCAATGAGGTTGACCTATTTATACGTCATCTGCATTTTACAAATAAGTAAACTGAGCTGGAAAGGCCTCACAGCTGGTAGAAGGCAAAACTTGAACCCTAGCCTAGATTCATGAAACTCCTTAAGTCCACACTCTTAACCATTTTGCTCTGTTTGTCTCTCCACACCTGTGCATCCTTGGTGCCCACTCTTCAGTGGATACTCTGTAAGTGCCTATTCACTGAATGAATAACTCCAGCAGTAGTTCAGCACAGACTGGCAGTGTGGTTTCCATTGAAAGGGAGAGTGTACCACCCATAAAACTGTTTCTTTAAATCTTCAAACCACATACACAAAACAATTCAGTATGTTGTTGATTGGGTCTCAGAAATGTTCAACATGGAAAAAAAGCTTCAGTGTTAAATACGGCTAGCCTTTGTAGCACAGAGCACAGCATAGTACTGCAAGATGATAAGACAGTTTGAATTGATTTCTAGGAGACTGCTGCCCCCTTACTTCTGTCTTGATTATGAATGTTCTCAGAAAGCAGATATAATCTAATTGAACTTTCACTGCCATAGCACGTTGCAGAGCCAGCTATACTGCATGTAAACTTTGAGATGGACTACAGTAAATAGAGGAATAGTTAGGATGAGCAAGGTCTGTTGCAAAAACTAAGTGTTTTTTTTTAAAGCTATTAAGTTGAAAAATGCTTTAAATGCCATGTATTATTAAATGCTTGTATAAATGAGTACAAAACCACTTGTCTTTTCTTGGGTTATCTTAAGGGTTAGGTAGCAAATCAGAGCATTACATTTAATGCCTAAAAATCTTGATAGTGAATTTTACTAATAAATAGTGATTTTAGTTCATCTTTTTTTGTCATCTGATTTTCTTTATTGACTTAGTAAAATGTAGTATAGATTCAATTTCATAACTTTTCTTCTCTGTTATTTCTCTAGTGTTGTTAATAACAGTACTGGTAGTGGAAGGGATTGCTGTGGCCCAAAAAACCCAAGGTAAAGTACTTACATTGGTGACTTACTGCATGTTTAAGACAATGGAATGGCTTATTTGAAAGGATTGCAACTTTTGGGTACTATTTCCATAATCCCTTTGGGGTGTTCCAGTGACCTAAGGCTTTCTGTCAACCCATCAGCCTCAATTTTACTGGGTTTAGCTGCAGTTAACTAGAGTAAATTGTCAGCATAAAGTCTTGCCCTGATAAATTTGAAAAATTGACATCACTGGTAGCTCCTAGCATACTGTGTATTATGTCCAAAAATTAAATGAGATTTATATTTTATCACTAAGCAAAAATAAAAGTCCCTTTTTCTAATTTAAACAAATGAAACACTTCAATTAATATCTTACTCAAAGTCCTTTGGTCCTGTTCTTTTGTCTTGATTTATGATTGATGATTAGCTAGTGTGATTGTTTTTTTTGAGCCAGATTTTTATGTCTGAATTTAGTACATTTCCAGTGTAACCTTGTTTGTTTTTTATTTTCATCTAAGTAATACATACACGTGATAAAAATCAAAGCATTCCTAAAAAGTTAGTTAGCAAAAATGAGTTCCCCATCTTGCCCTACTTAACTTCCTGCTCCATGGAAATAATCACTCTTAGCTGATTCTTTTGGCATTTCCCTTCCTTTCTCTAAATGACATGCTGTGTTGCTACTTGGTTATTTCAGTTTTAGAAATTAGATAATGATTTTTCACCGTGGAAGATAAGAATTTAGCTCTTTCACGCACCTACTGTCCACTCCATCCATATATGAGTGTTCTTGTACCTTGCATTTGTACCACCCTTCTCAACACAGTTCTGTCATAATTCCGGTTAACTCAGTATTCAGGATTTACATTAAGTCACTCATTCAGCTGAATTTTGTCTTTAGGAAGTTTTCTTTTTTTTTTTTTTTCTGTTTTAATTTTTAAAATTCCCTTTCCTCCGTTTTCTCTCTTCTGCCTTTTCAGGAATTCTATTATTTTACTTGGTTATGGCCCTCTTGGTTTTTGTTTCTAGCTCTTCTGCTTTCCATCTTTTTGCTCCACATTCTCTGAGACTTCCTCAACTTTACCTCTAAACCAGGAGTTAGAACACTTTTTCTGTGGATCAGATCGAAAGTATTTAAGGCACTGTAGGCCCTACAGTCTCTGAAGCAACTCTTCGAATTCCTTGACTCTTCTGTCCTGGAACAAAAGCACACAAATGATGGGCATGGGTATATTCCAGTAAAACTTTATTTACAGCAGGCTCCAGGTTATGTTTGGAACAGGGTCATAGTTTGCTGAACTCTGCTCTAAACATTCTGCTGATTTTTGCATTTCTTCTGTCTTTGGAAGCTTTTTTTGGTTCTGTTTTCTGAATATAATATTCTGTTTGTACACTTTGTTTTTGTCTTGTGGATTTACTTTTCTTTCTCAGGATATTAAATGATTATTTTGTGGTGGTGGTGGTGTTTAAATATTTTTCTTGCATAGTCTTTATCTTCTCAGAGTTGCTTTTCTCCAGTTTTTTTTTAATTAATTAATTATTTATTTATATTAGTGATTTTCCTCCAATGTCTGGTGATCCTTGAGGGTTCATATTTTAAGAGGGACACTAAAAACTGATCATTAACTGTCTGCAGGTGTGGGCAAGGATCAGTTACTGGCTCTTACTGTTGACAGATCTGACATTGGGGAACTCCTGCGTCTGCATCAAGCCTTTCCTAGGGGCTGTTTGGATTCACAGAGAAGAATCTTTTCTTTTCCTGCTTAAAGGCTCAATATCTGATCAGGAGGCCTTTGTGGGAGTTCAGCAGGAAATGAAGGCTGGAACATATGCTAACATTCACTCATCTCCCTGTTTTCCTTCTCAGCTGTGCCTGGTGTCCCCTAGTCCAGTAACCCTGTTTTACCTTCTCCAAAGAAATCACCTTTAGTGTTCTGATGTGGTTGTAGAGCTGCTAGATTTGTGGAGGAGGAAAGGGTACTGAAAATCCAACTCATTCTAAACAAACTTTTAACTAGCCTTGTGTTTTTAAAAAGCCCAGTTTCACTCACCACCCCCCCACCCAACTTCCTGGTACAGCCAGTTGTTACTGCTATATCTACCCCTCTGTATTTAAGAGTTTATATCCTTTTAAAAATGCTTTTATTGTTGTTTAAGTGGAGTTTGAGGAAGGAGCAGAGGTAAGTGCATGTGTTTAGTCTACAATCTTCAACTAAAATCCCTCTGTAACCTTTGAATCTTCTTTCACTGTTGTGTTAATCTAAGTATGAGGGCCCCATCTCAGAGATCAGTTCCTGGGATACCTTCATTTTTAGGTTAGAACTGAATTGTATTGCATCTTACTGACTTAGCAGGTTCCCCCATACGGTTTTGCCCTTTGTTAAGTGCGTATAAGCCCTTTATTTCCCTGTTATTTTACACGGCAAACTTGTCCTCTCCCAGCAAGTTTTCCCTCCCTCTCTTTCACTTCTATACTCAATTTATTGTGCTAAATTTGACAGTGGTTCTTACAAAATTTTATATATGTAGCATAGAGTGAGCAGTTGTTTAGAAACTGGTGGGGAAAGAGAAAAATGATTCTCTTTTGCTGTAACCAGTGTTTTAAATGCCGTTTTTCCCTAAGATGGACAAAATATTGGAATCAAGCACATTCCTGCAACCCAGTGTGGCATTTGGGTTCGAACCAGCAATGGAGGTCATTTCGCTTCACCAAATTATCCTGACTCATATCCACCAAACAAGGAGTGTATCTACATTTTGGAAGGTATTTGACCAATTTATTTTCTTGGATTAATTTTTACTTTATTGTAAAACTAAATACGTTGGTAAAATGACCTATGTAAACCAGTTTGAATGAGATTTAAACATGTATTTGAATTAAACTATAGTAATGATAAGTATTTCTGCGTATCGAATACATTTACAAGATACTAGCAGAAATGTTAGGGAAAGTTTGAATCTCCCAAGTATAATTCAACTAGGTACATTAGTATGTATGAAAAACTTCTTTGATAAGAAACTTAAACTTACTGGCATCCCTTATAAGGCTTAATTCAAATTTATGTCCACATAAGTGAGTTCCTTTCATTTCTTCTGTTTATTTTTCTGTGTATTGTGGTACATTGTATCTTGAACTAAGTAAGTATTAGCTTCTTGACTCTTCAGTTTGAATCACTCAAAAATATTTAATTTAGTAGATAGCATGTGCCAAAGGAAAAGATTACTATACTTCTACAGAGTAGCATTATTTTTATTGTAAGATACAACATTTATCATGACTTGTATAGCAATTCTCACTAAAACCTTTGTCTATGAAGCAGTTAGCAGAACAGTTGTTCTGCTTTTCTCATTTGTGTCAATACATTTATATTTTTTCTTGTTTGTGTTGCCCTGATTTGCTTACTCTTATTTTCTAGCTGCTCCACGTCAAAGAATAGAGTTGACCTTTGATGAACATTATTATATAGAACCATCATTTGAGTGTCGGTTTGATCACTTGGAAGTTCGAGATGGGCCATTTGGTTTCTCTCCTCTTATAGATCGTTACTGTGGTGTGAAAAGCCCTCCATTAATTAGATCAACAGGGAGATTCATGTGGATTAAGTTTAGTTCTGATGAAGAGCTTGAAGGACTGGGATTTCGAGCAAAATACTCATTTATTCCAGGTAAAGAATAAGTTATCTTTTAAGTGGTTGGGCATCTCACTCTAACTCTGATTTTAGAATCTTAAGGTTAGAAAAGAGATTAATTTGGTCAAGTTAATCAAGATTTTAAATAAATTAGCAAAGTCAAAGGGAAATTAGTCCATGAACAAATAAGAAGTTAATGGAAATTGGACATAGAAACGTATCACTTGAAATTTGAAGCATATCAGAGATGGTGCCACATTTTCTTAGATTTTTTTCTGTCTTATAGCACATGCTCAGCCTAACATTTAAAATATATTTAAAAATGAATACAGTTTTAAAAATAATTCAACAAATTGTCTTGTTTTCAGAATTTCCACAAAAATTGTTTTGTATTATTTTTCTCATTTAGCTGTTATAATTAACCACTCAACTGAATAAATACTCTAGAATATATTGAGCAATAGAAAGAACATTGCTCTGCACTTGGATGTCAAAAATCTGAGTTTGAATTCTTTCTCTGCCTCCTAATAGCTATGAGACTATTAAGCACAGAATTATGCCTGAGATTTACCACTAGTAAAATGGGAATGCCTGCTGTATTAGTTTACTGATGCTGCCATAACTAATTACCTCAAATTTGGCCACTTAAAACAGCAGAAACTGATTTTCTTGCATTTGGGGAGACCAGAAGTCCAAAATTGAACAGGGCCTCATTCCCTTTAGGAACCTGGGGGAGAATCTGGTCTTTGCTTCTTGCAGCCTCCAGTGGGTGCCCCAGCTTTGCTGGGCTGTGGCCACATCACTTCAGTCTCAGCCTCCCTCTTCACAGCTCTTTCTACTCTTTTCAAGATCCTTAACCTAATGGTATCTTTTACCTTGTAATATTACTCTTTTTAAAAACTATATATGTATATACACACACACACACACACACATATATATATATGCACCCTACTACTCACAGGTTATGGGGATTCCAGTGTGTGTATACTGGGGGGCTACTGTACCATCAGCCTCCTCCACCTTGTTACCTGCCTCACAGTAGGTGAGAACACTCTGAGAACTGTAAAGCCCTGTCCATTATGGCACGTACATATCCCTAATGCAGAAACACAGAGGTGTGCAAGTTACTGTTCCTGTCTTCACCAAGCTTACACACTAACGATATGAAAAAATAACAGTAAAACAACTGTATGAACTTTTTGCTTTTATTTATTTTTCATGCAAGAAATTTAATTGGAAAAAATTAAAACATTGAAATGAAAAGAAAATATCCATAATTCTTCCACCCTGTATATGAAATCAGTGTTAACAATTTGGTGTATATCCCTTCCAGTGTTTTTCTGTATCTGTTTCTTTTGTTTGTTATACAAGATTGGGATTATGGTACACATATAACTTTATTATCTGCTTTTTTGCCTGAAAAACATAAACAACCTTTTTTTCCCTGTCAGTACTCATGTAGGAAATTTTAAGCTTTGCTTCAGTATATATCTGCTCTTTTTAAATTTTTTTTCTATAATCCCCATAGCCAAACAAGTATTTATTTGCTCAATGCCAAAAGGATATTTCCAAAAAGTAAAATTTGTCTAATAGACTTTATTTTTTAGAACAGTTTTAGGTTCCCAGCAAAATTACACAGGAAGTAGAGTCACCATAAGCCTCCTGCCTCCCTTTCCATCAGCATCTTTCATGAGAGTGGTGCATTTGTTACCAATGATGAGCCAACATCCATGCATCATTATTACCCAAAGCCTATAGTCTATAGTTGACATTAGGGTTCACTCGTGGTAGGGTGTGCTCTGTGGGTTTTGACAAATGCATGATGACATGTATCCGCCCTTACAGAACCATACAGGACAGTCCCACTGCCCTAACAGTCCCCCGTACTCTGCCTCTTCATCCTTCCCTTTCCCCAAACCATTGGCAATCGCTGTTCTCTTCAGTATCTCCCTAGTCTTGGTATTTCCAGAATGTCATGTAACTGGAATCATACAGTATGGAGCCTTTTCCAGTTAGCAGTATGCATATAAGTTTCCTCCATGTCTTTTTGTGGCTTGATAGCTCATTTTTCACACCAAATAATACTTCATTGTCTAGATGTACCATGGGCTGTATATCCATTCTACTGAAGGACATCTTGGTTGCTTCCACATTTTAGCAATTATGAATAAAGGTGCTATTCATGTGCAGGTTTTTGTGTGGACATGAGTTAATTCATTTGAGTAAATTCTAATACATGCCACAACATGGATGAACCTTGAAACATTATGCTAAATAAGATAAGCCAGAAGCAAAAACACAAATATGACTCCATTTATATACGGTATCTAAAGTAGTAACATTCATTGAAACAGAAAGTGGAATGGTTATCAGGGTTTGTGGGGGAAGGGGGAAGGGGAGTTAATGTTTAATGGGTGTAGACTTTCAGCTTGGGATGATTAAAAATTCTGAAAATAAAAAAATGGTGATGGTTGTACAACATTGTAAATATGCTTAATGCCACTGAATTGTAAACTTAAAAATGGTGGAGCCAGGCGTGTGGTGCACACTTGTCATCCCAGCTACTCAGGAGGCTGAGGCTGGAGGATTGCTTGAGCCCAGAATTTCGAAGTTATAGTGAGCTATGGTTGCACCACCGCACTCCAGCCTGGGTGACAGAGCAACACCCTGTCTCTTAAAAAAGAGCAACATTATGAATTTTATGTTATGTATAATTTACCACAATTAAAAAGTAGTAGTGGCCGGGTGCGGTGGCTTACATCTGTAATCCCAGCACTTTGAGAGGCTGAGGTGGGTGGATCACATGAGGTCAGGAATTTGAGACCAGCCTGGCCAACATGGCAAAATCCCATCTCTACTGAAAATACAATTAGCTGGGTGTGGTGGTGCATGTCTGTAATCCCACCCACTTGGGAGGCTGAGGCAGGAGAATCGCTTGAACTTGGGAGGTGGAGGTTGCAGAGAGCCAAGATTACACCACTGTACTCCAGCCTGGGCAACAGAGCAAGAATCTGTCTCAAAAAAAAACTAGTAGCTAGTAAGCTGTTTTTTCACAGTGGCAGGGAAAAGAAAGATACACAGGATACCCTGCCTTGTGAAATAGTCCACAGGAGTTTGAGAACCAATAGTTTATATCAAAATGACTGATTGGATTAAATTGGTTAGGTGTTTTATTTTTATTAACTAAATCAACTGACTGAAGTAGTTGAAGCAGTGTCATGAAGACACAATAGATGATGACTGTACATAAGTTTAGACTACTTGACAGAAAAAGACATCCAAAGAATACACTTATTTGAATAGTGTTTTTAAATATTTAAAAACAAAATCAGCCAACTTCATATGTAAAGATACTTACTTTGGAGTCAAGTAGCTCTTTTTCCTCTATTCATGTTATAGATCATGAGAGCAACTTTAAATGGCCTATAGTTAAAATATAGACAAAGTATAACAAAATGCTTAGGATTTCTAGAGTTTATCACCTTTCATTTGCATTTTATATGCTTCACAGTTTTGATAGACATTATATTTAATTTTGTGTTAATGACAGTAATGTCAGGAGGATTATATAATATTTTACAGATGAGGAAACTGAGTCAGAGATTAAGTGATTTTCTTAGTTCATAGAATGGCAAATCCAGGACTAGATTGCAATTCACTAGGCAATACTTCCTACTCTTCTCATGTCACCTTTATAATGTGGGTGAGGTCACATTGAAGAAAAGCCTTATTAAAAAAAGTCCACAATTTTATCACTAAAAGAGAAGGCCAACACATGTCAAAATAAATAGGCAATGCATAATTAGCTAAATATATCTCTGTCTAATGTTATTTCAAGTCATGTTAATAAAATAAGTTTTGTCTAGGAGTTGGTAATTCTGGAAGAAACCTATTAACAATGGTGAGAAGTTCGTATTTTTTTAATGAAATTCTCTAAGCTATTGGTGATATTTACTGAGGCAGAGGCTCTTAATGGGTTGTTAGTTCCTGGATGTAACTGGGATAATTATGGACATTTTAATGTGATAATGACAATATCCTAGATTTCTGGAATACATGTGAACTAGTTCTGATTAATTTGCCAGACAGTTCCTGTGATTCCCCTCCGCCATGCTGTTTAAGATTTCAATTTCTCTTTGACATTTCTCTGCAAAAGAGCCGAAACGTCTGTTGTCCTCTTTTAGCAAGGACAAGTTTTGTTTATAAAGTTCAAAAAGAACAGTTGCTAAAATATATTCTACATAAGCTAATAATTTTTTTCCTCTTTTTAAAATATGTAATTTGATGACTTCCTAAAGTGTCCGGAATTAAAGACAACAGTTTTAACAGGAATTGAGGCTCTAGTTGTACACAATTAAATTGTGAATTGAAATAGATTTTCCAGGCCAAGTGCGGTGGCTCACACCTGTAATCCCAGCACTTTGAGAGGCCGAGGTGGGCGGATCACGAGGTCAGGAGTTTGAGACCAGCCTGACCAACATAGTGAAACCGTGTCTCTACTAAAAATATGAAAAATTAGCTGGGCGTGTTGTGGGCACCTGTAATCCCAGCTACTTGGGAGGCTGAGGCAGGAGAATCGCTAGAACCCAGGAGGCAGAGGTTGCAGTGAGCAGAGATCAAGCCATTGCACTCCAGCCTGGGCAACAGTGTGAAACTCTATCTCAAAAAAAAAAAACAAAACCAAAAGTAAAGAAATAGATTTTCCAGAAATCTTGAGACATTTTAGACTACCCAGCAATTTTTTTTTTATTCTGGCAGTTGGATATATACACAGGTTCTATCTGAACTTTAAAATAATTGTTTAAAGATACCTGTGTTTGTAATTTCTAAAAATTTATTTTTATTGTGGTAAAATATCCATAACAAAATTTACCCTTTAACCTTTTTTTTTTTTTTTTTTTTAAAGACTCATTTTGTCACCTAGGCTGGAGGGCAATGGCACTCTCTCTGCTCACTGCATTCTCAACCTCCTGGGCTCAAAAGTTCCTCCCAGGTCAGCTTCCCAAGTTGCTGGGACTACAGGCATGAGCCACCATGCCCAGCTCTGTTTAACCATTTTTAAGTGTGTAATTCAGTGGCATTAAGTACATTCACAGTATTACGCAAGCATCACCACCATCCATGCCAAAGTTTAGAAGACAAATTTTAACATGCTTCAGGAGAAGGGAACTTCATTCCTTTTTAAGGCCGAATAATATTCTATTATATTGTATATGTGATGTTCTGTTTACCTGTTCAGCTCTGATAGCTGATGTGAGTTTTCAAGTAGCATAAATAAATTATTCACTATGGAATCAAAAATATAAATGTGATTAAATAAATGTCGATCCTGTAAGTGAGCTCATAAATGAGCAATGATGTGTCGTTTTCACCAATGAAAGCTTCTCTTAGCTTGCTATGAAATGGAGCATTAGATGTAATGTAAGACATCAAAGCTTAAAGTAACTATCTCAGTACCAATGACTTTCTTCTTTTTTCTGTTGCAGATCCAGATTTTACTTACCTAGGAGGTATTTTAAATCCCATTCCAGGTTTAGTATATTACCACTTGTTCCTCTTGGCATTTTTGATCAGTCTTATGTTCCCTTGAACACCTTTCATGTATTCCTTCTAGATTGTCAGTTTGAGCTCTCGGGAGCTGATGGAATAGTGCGCTCTAGTCAGGTAGAACAAGAGGAGAAAACAAAACCAGGCCAAGCCGTTGATTGCATCTGGACCATTAAAGCCACTCCAAAAGCTAAGGTATTATTATGTGTTGAGTCTCTTCAGAGAAGAATATCATGATAAGGCATGATTTGCAAAATATGTTATTTTGGTTTGTGAAAATATTTATTGACTACATAAACTGATATTGCAACTTTTTAAAAATGTATTTTATTTCGCCTTATTGGCACCTACTAAGATCCCAGCATTATTATAGTTAAATAAACTGGAATTCCTGAAATTATTCAGGAATATTACGTGTATATTAAGATTCTCAATTATAAAAGATTAAGATTCTTAAGACCTGTCAGTTCCCAATTGGTAGGTGTGCATATTGATCAGCATGATTATAGATTCATTAACATCTTTATGAGGAAAATAGGCCACAAGAGGTGAAAGTGTGTTCTCAAAAGTTACAGAGTTGGTCGTAACAATCTAAAAACGAAACCCAAATGTGTCAAGTCTGTTCTTACCCTGCTGTCCTCTGCTACTCATGGGGCGCTTTTATTGGAAAGAACTGCAGGGAAGGATGTTTTTAAATAACTCCAACAGATTGAGATTGGATACTGACTACTTCTGCATTTAATTTATACTTCTAGGAATATCAACAGAGTTAAAATTATATTTAATGTGTATTATGTAAAAAGAGGGAAAAGAGGAGAGAGGGTGGGAAAACATACCTCTCAAGAATCATGAAAATCAGATTTAAAGATTGGGTAATATGATAGATAAAGTAACCTGAAAACCCATCTGCTAGAAGACACATGGAAACATTGGGTAAAATATGACAAATAATTATTTTAAAAGCATATGTGTAAGCTCCAGGAAGGAGAAAAAGAGGGTAATGCTTATGGGTGAGAAATGAAGAGACAGAACTATAAATTAATAAATTGAAATTGATGTTACAAATGCCCCTGGCTGATTTTCATAACCTGTTACGGCACAGGGGTAGACATACTGAGAGCTTCCTTTTAATTCCCATACTGAGAAAAGAAGAGTCCTGGGGTTCACATGGCCTTTATGAGACTCACATGAAGCTGGAGCCCTCAAAGGGTGGCAACTCACATGAAAGCATGTATTAGAAAAAATGTTTCACTGCCACATGCTGATGACAAAGAAGCTTGTTTTTCTGGGTTTAGTCTCAGGGTGAGGTTGGGGGTGAGGCTGGGGTCTCCCCTAGCTTTATACTTAGAAACCCTGCCTTTATTAGGGTTTGAGAAATGGATTTACATTCCCTGCTCAACCCAGGAGTCACTAAGTCCAAAAACTAACAAAATGGTCCTGGGTGCATTAAACCTTTGAGTCACCTGGCAAAAATAAATCTAAAAGTCACCAAGAAAGCTGCAGGGTTGGCATGGATGAAACACTGCTGCAGGTCAGCTCACAGCCCCCAGATTCTGAAACCCCTATGCTCACAGCCCACCATGGGTACGAGTTCACCAACATAACAAACAGGAAGGAGTTCCTTAGATCCCCAAGAACTTGAGTGTTTCACATATCCTCCAAGAAGGAAACAGAGATGAGAAAGAAAAATGACCACGTCCATTTTTAAAATAACCAAATAGGAGGTCTATAAGTTAAAAGTGGCTATTAAAAAGATGTATCTGAGGAAATTACCCAGAGCGTATTGCTGGAAGAGGTGGCAGTTTATTAGGATTTTTCATAACTGATACTCTGTAGTGTGTAAGTAAGCCTGATGCCCAGGTCTTCACGCACACACGTGATGTGCGCCTCCCTCCAGCCTTGTTACCATGTCGGCACATTGCCTATCTGATGTGAAAAGGAAAAAAAAGAAAATTTCAAGAACTGATAAAAAGCATGACACAGGGTGACTCCCAAGCAGGAAAAAAAAATTTAAGTGACACTGACATTGTACCCCACAGACAAGGAGAAAAGTTTTTAAACAACAGAGAAAATAGTCTACAAAAGGATGCTATTAAGATTGACACCAGAATTATCAATAGCAAAATAGAAGCCCGAGACAATAGAATAATGTCTTCATAGTGTTAAGAGTGTTCATTGTCATTTAAGACTGAAGGCAGTGGCAGAGATGCGGGGATGATTAATGAGTACAAAAGTATAATTAGATAGAATTAATACCTGGTATTTGATAGCACAACAGAGTGACTACAGTCAACAATTTATTGTACAGTTTAAGCGTAATTGGGTCATTTGTAACACATGATAAATACTTGAGATGATGGATCCCCCATTTATCCTGATGTAATTATGTACTGTATGCCTATATCATGATATCTCAGGCACCCCATAAATACATATATCTATTATATACCCGTAAAAATAAAAAATAAAAGAATGAGGGCAAAATTAAGGTGTTTCTCTGCAAAATAATACATGAATTAAATGCTACAGTTAAAATCCAAATATATCTTGTTTACAGGATAATTACAGGAAGTTTTGAAAATACAAAACTAGGAAAGAACAGACAAATGTCAAAAAAGAGCTGATGTAACTATTAAAACAGAAATCAATAATGTCACTATCTCACTAGATAAATCTCAGGTATTAATGTAGCCTTAAAATGCATAAAACATAGATTGCTGATTGTCAAGGAAAATCGACAAATCCACAACACAGTCGGTAATTTTTTTTTTTTTACTTCTTAGTAATTCACAGGTCAAGCATACACAAAGTTAATATGGCTCAAAAGATTTAAATAACACAGTATGTGCTTAATGGACATGGTATCTTGCTTCCAACATCCAGAGAATAGGCATTCTCTACTAGCATTCATAAAACATTTATCAAAACAGATACATGTGCTCAGCTAACAAAGGAAGTCTGAACGTATATGCAGAGCATCCTATGGCAAAAATGCAATTAAACCAAGAATCAGCAACCAAAGATTACTTTAAAACTCCATATGTTTGGAAATATAATAATATACCACTTAGTAATTTGTAAGACACAGAAGAAATCAGTGTGAAAATTTGAATACATTTAAAATGCATTAATGAAAATACTACATATAAAAAAACTGTGGGGTACAGCTAAAACCGTACTTTGAGAAAAAAGACTGAAATTTAGTTAAGACTCCAGAAGTTAAAAGAAAAATCCAAAGAAAGAGCAATCATAAAACAGAAATTTTTTTAAAAAATGAAGATACAAAAAGAATAAATCAATGAGGCCCGACATGGGCTCTTTGTAAAAGGTAACAACAGGCAGACTTCTGCCAAGATTGATCTAGAAAAAAAAGACATAAATAGTCCAGGCACAGTGGCTCATGCCTGTAATCCCAGCACTTTGGGAGGCAGTGGCGTGCGGATCACGAGATCAGGAGATCAAGACCATCCTGGTGGCGTGCGGATCACGAGGTCAGGAGATCAAGACGGGTTTAGTGAACTCCGTCTCTACTAAAAGTACAAAAAATTATCTGGGCATGATGGCGGGCGCCTGTAGTCCCAGCTACTGGGGAGGCTAAGGCAGGAGAATGGCGTGAACCCAGGAGGCGGAGCTTGCGGTGAGCCGAGTTCATGCCACTGCACTCCAGCCTGGGCAACAGTGCAAGACTCTGTCTCAAAAAAAAAGAAAAAGAAAAAAAAAGACATAAATAATATTAGAAATGGAAAAGTTATAAATCAGCTACAGCAAGGCTTTAAAACTATTATGAGACAAATCAACTAGAAAGTAGACCTGCCGAACAAGAGAGGAAAGAAACTGTGTTTCTTTAATAAATAAATGACAATGGGGGGAAAGGAAAAATAAGAATCTATAGATTAAAAGAGATATAAAAGTCAAGTGAACTTACTGATTCAGACAAACTGTAAATGGAGAGAACTGATGACATTAAGAGGCGTGTAGAAGTTTGAACACTGGTATTTAATATTAAGTTATTCATTTGTTTCATTTGATAATAGGATAAAGGTTATTAAGTGGCTTTAGTGATACAGAAATGTTTACAGATGTAATGATTTAATGTCTGAGATTTGTCTCTAGTATGTAAGAGTTAGAAGTGAGGAAAGACAGATAAGATTGGCTAGGTTATAATTACTGAAGTTGGAAGCTAGATACACAGATATATTTTGTCTGTTTTTGCATATTTTGAAATTTTAATAAATGTTTTAGACTATCATAAGAGAATATTATAAATAATGATTTGTCAGTAGATTTGTAAAGGGTATAAATGGTGATGTTTGGAGAGTATGGAGGGAATCCCTGTTTTTTTCTCTCTTAATCAGAATTCACAACAGGTTAGGAGACTAAAATTCTAAGGAACACTTGTCTTTCTGGCCAGAGGAACTAGATACAAGAGACCATGTTGTCATCTGGAGAATATGAAGGAAGTCTTGGAGAGGAGAGAGCTAGAGCAGGGAAGCACTAATGCAGGCTTTCCTTCTGAGGTGCCTGCGTGTGGAACAGATCCAGGGAAACGTGGCAGCAGTGTTAGGAACCACGTTACAGTATAAACCACCTCTAAGTCCCTGAGTGGGTCACACACTGGGCAAGCCTACCCAGCACAGCAAGGTCTTTGAACATTGGGACCACCACCCAAACAAAGAGAGACAGAATTTGCAGTCTGAACGCAACTTAGTTGTCTGCAGAACCAAAACAAATAACAAAAAACGACATCCTCCAGGGATTTTTAACAGGATCCAAGTCACACAGCATAAGATTTAAAATGTCCAAGATACAATGAAAAATTACAGAGAACTAGGAAAATCTGGTTAATTTTTAATGAAAGGCAATCAATAGATCCCAACCCTAACCCAAATATTAAGAACTATCCAAAAATCTTTTTTTAATTAAAAAAAAATGTTTTTAATAGAAATGGGGTCTCACAGTGTTGCCTAGGCTGGTCTCAAACTCCTGAGCTCAAGTGATCCTCCTGCCTCAACCTTCCAAAGTGCTAGGATTACAGGTGTTAGCCACCATGCCCAGCCAGAATTATCAAAAATTCTAAAGCAATGATAGAACCATGCTTCATGAGATAGCAGTAAACACTCTCAGAGTAGGAAAATAGGACTCAGCAGAGAAATAAAATAATTTTTTAAGTGAAAAATTTAGAAGTAAAAGAAAAA